GATGTTGAGAAACATGGAATACATTATCAAACTCAACTCTCTGCTATAAAGTAATAAAAAAACTTATTTGGAATCCATTTTGTAATATTTGTTTCTTCTCATATAACAATCATAAAATGTTAAAGATGGGAGTATGTGAGTGTTCTTAGTCTTCTCGAGAGATATGGATATAACAAATAGATGGCTCATCATATCTGTAGATTTACACAACTCCTAATAATTGAATCTCTCCTTCCTTCTTTGTCAATCTAGTTCGTGGCATTGTTAGATTCTTCTAATCGTAAAGGCCTTCGTCGTACCAAATATCGACCAGAAAGTCCACCATCTCCTACATAAAAGATCAGATGGGAAATTCAGGTATTGAGAATGATTTTAGCTTCTTCTTTTTTTGAACTCATGTAGAAAATGGGATTAGATTAAGCTTACGGGTAAAGGAATCGACTCAGAGAAAGGTTCGTGAGTTGAGAGAAGATCTTCATATGTAGTGGACCAGCTGCAAGAGATTCAAGATTGTCTTAAGAAATCATTTCTTTTACTGATCATTAGAATATTTATGAACTGCAAAAAGAAATATAATGCTATTGATGGAAACAAATACCTTATAATCTGATCCTTTGCAGTTTTTTTTCTTTGCCCAGATTGATCTCCCACCCATTTTTCCCTGTTCTCTTGCCACATTTTCGCACCTGCAATCAAGAATAAGAATATGCTTATAGATAATGCTCAAGAACAAAAATATCGAACCAGCGAGTTAGAATCTCTATTGGTTCAGAGCTAGTGTCAAAAAAAACAATGTGACATAGTTAATAATCAAGATTTGAGACAAAGTTCTAATTTTTATAACAGCAATGGATTATAAACAATCATCTGTTTAAAGCTTAAGTGTGGAAATGTACCATGATTCACAAGTGTAAGGGTGCTTTCGGTGTTCTGTTTAACCGAGCTTTTCTCGTCTTTAACCAATTTTGAATGCTCAAGAGGTTTGTTTTCCGTGGACAGACAATTTGCAGTAAGAAGCTCCATTATCATTCAATCGAATGATCATTCCTTTACGAATAAACCCGATTATATACCGCATACAAAAACATCAAAGGTTTCCGCACAAGCTGCTAGATAACAACATTAAACCGATTATTAAAGCCAACTCAAAAGCATGAAACTGTTACAAGAATCAGAATAGCGAGAAGGGGTTGATTTAATTTTACCTCATTGACATTTCTATCAATCAGCTTGTGGAAAACCTAAAAGGTTCAAGAACCAAGAACACCACATTTCTCAGAAAACAAATCTTTAAGAACCAAGAATACATTATGAAGGAAGTAAAATCACTCAACAACATTTCTCTGCAAATCATATCCAACACCAAAGTCATTGCAACAAGAA